GCGCCGCTGCCGGTAACCGGTGTCAAGACATGCTGTCCGTGATTTTTCGGTAAGCCGAGGTTACAGTGTGCACAGCATTACAATCAAATACAGTCCGCTACATGGACGCCAAGCGTTCAAGGCCCCCCCCCTTTCAGCTCCACCCTGGCCCGGCTCTTTGTCAACGGCTACAAAACACTGTAAATACCAGTGTTTTCAGCTCCTCCAGTCTGCAAGAGTGGCCTCAAACCACGCAATTTACAGGGTTTTCTGTGGCTGTCCGGCCAAGAACCTCGTAAAAAACGATTGTTTTTGAAGTGTCTAGGCTTCAAAAATGGTCGAAAAATTGCCAAAAACCTGGAAAGATTTTGCCGGAAAGGTTTTTTTCGGCGTTTGGAGGCTTCTAAATGGCACAAAACGATGGTATTTACACGGGTTTGCGCGCCTTCCCGGCACAAAACCCTGTAAATTGCGATGGTTTTGGGCTATGTACGCTTCAAAGTGACCACAGAACACCGTATATAAATACTAGTGTTTTCAGCTCCTCCTGTCTTCAAGAGTGGCCTCAAACCACGCTATTTGCAGGTTTTTTTTTTGTGGCGGAAAGAGTTTTTTCGGCGCTTGGAGGCTTCAAAGTGGCACAAAACGACGGTACTCACACGGGCTCGTGCGGCTTCCTGGCACAAAACCCTGTAAATTCGGATGGCTTTAAGCTATGTACGCTTCAAAGTGGCCACAAAACACCATCAACTCCACCCTGGCGGGGGTCTTTGTCAACAGCTACAAAACACCGTCAATACCAGTGTTTTCAGCTCCTCCAGTTTGCAAGAGTGGCCTCAAACCACGCAATGGACAGGGTTTTCTGTGGCTCGTAAAAGCCGATTGTTTTTCAAGTGTCTAGGCTTCAAAAATGGTCGAAAAGTACTTGGTGCTTCGAAAAGTCTCTAGGCTTCAGTACTTGGCACGTTGCCTTAACTTTGATCCTCTAGCAAGGGCTTCTGTTCAACAGGGGGGGGGGCCCTGACTTCCTCCAGGGTTACGCCTGATTCCCTGCTACTTTTCGTTCACCCCCTCCCTCAAGTAGAATGAACTTTGGAGAGCCGAAGTGTTATTTCCCTACAAACTGAGGGACTGTTTCAACCATGCGAAGAACCCAGGCCCTTCTGCCTCCTTGCTACAGCAGCTTCCTGTTAGTGACAGTAGCTACTTATCCTTACGACTGGCTTGTCTTTTAAACTTCTTGCCTACAGATGCCTGCAGTAGGTTTCGGATGGGGATCAATCATCGTGGCTTGTCCCCGAGCTGTGCCGTGTGATTCGTGCGGTCTGGTCCAGTTTGCTTTGTTTTGCAGTGTTGTGTACGGTGGTGACCGGGTGATGCTATGTTTGCTATGTGGTGCTGCACGTGTTGCGTAGCATTGTGAGGCATGGCGGGGTGTGCTGCTTGTGTGGTGCTGGGTAGCGTCAGACATGGAGGGAAGGAATGTCAATTGTGTATCATAGTTTGGTGTAGAGAATTTTGCCGTGCTGCGGTCTATAATGGTGTGTGAAGCTTCTAGAGAATCAGGTCTTTGTTTTGCTCACACGGGCTTAAAATGTGTCCCGCTGATTTCATCGGTTGCAGGTTGAGCGCCTTGAGCAGATGTTGCGGCCCTCAGACTCTGTAGTCTGCTGCTTTCTGTAGTGCACATTTCAAAGCTCCTCTTGTGCCTGGTCAACAAGCCAAGGAAGCTTGCACAGCAACGGGAAGAGGCCTTTTGGGATACATCAGATTATGCTAGTATATATATGTATATATGACCAACTTGTGTTTGTCCTTTGCAGGAACAAAGCATGCAGATGGTGCACGAATCCCAAACATATTTGCCACCATGTGGCTTTTGTTGCAAGCGCCACTCGTTGCGAAGGAGTTGAAGAAAGAGCGCGACGGCATTCAGAGTCTAACTGATAGCCCGGAAGCCAAACAGATTCAATCGCTTAATTCAATTCGTCCAATTACCAACTATATATATAGACAGGAATATTGTTCTAGGTGTGCAGCATCAGGGTCGTAAGCTCACGACATCTCAAGAAGACCAGGTGCGAAGTGCTTGTGATGGTCTTGAGACCTGAGGCATGAAGGTGATGGAGGCGGACATGGAAAAGAAAGCGCAGGAACCGACGGCGAAGAACGGCAGACGAACACCGACCATGAAGAGATACCATGAGCAAAAAAAGATCCACGGATAGAATGCCAGGAGCACAAAGAGGAACGCCAGCGCCTTCTCAAAGAGCCGAGTCCTCAATGATAAGTGGAGAGTGCAGAGGTAGTATGGAAGCAACTAGGATTTGCTTAAAAAGACACAGAGTCTTTATGTCTTTATGACTATTTTGCTAGTAGTAACAAGTGCCTTACTAGTAGTAAAAAGTGCCTTACTAGTAGTAACAAAAAGCTATTAGGAACAAGTGCCTTACTACTAGTAACAATTAGAATTAAATTAGCCAAAGACTGAAGAGATGGGACAAGCATCTTCTGCCTTCCGATTTCCCACTTGGACGAAGGTTGCAAGGCTTTAGATTGCTAGTGAGGTGACCTTGCATGGAAGTTGCAGCTCAAAGTAGATGAGCAATGCGAACACGATTTTCCTCAATGATATGGATTTGAGGGAATAGCCATTTGGTCTCGATCCTTGCAGAATCTTCCCGAGACGTTTCGAAAAGCCTGATGAGGCATGGCATCTCCGGGGTGGATGATATTGAGGCCTCTCTGGATTTGATGTGCTCAATGACAACCCTGTTGACTGGCACAGGATGCTTTGCGGAAAAGAACTTTCTTCGTCAGAGCCACGCATTTGAATCACTTGACATGAATGGAAACCAACGCATTTGATTCCATGTACTGTAAGTGTAAAGGATATTCGTGGGCCTCGTTCAACAAATTCTTTCTGGAAACAGATGTGCTGATGTGCTTGTTTTATTCGTATCACTCAACTGGCCTCACAGAAAAACAGGCTGTATTCCAGCAGATTCTGCTAATCTGTGTGGTCCACATTACAAGTTCAGGCATTATCAGATAATCAGTATCATTGCAGAGGAATCACATTCCCTAATTTGCAAGTTTCTAATTTTGGCCTGTGCCTTTGGCACAGATGTCACTTGGAGGAAACGGACACTGCAACATTCTCCATCTTTTGCGCGAGAGAGAAACTTATGGAACTGTAACCTTGCTCTCCCCTACAGACAGAGCAAAGAGCATGAAGAGTATCGATTTGACATTTTTACATCTCTCAAAACAGGTCATGATTGAGTGTCAAGGAGGCCGGAATCAAAGGGCTCAGCATTGACCAGGACGCCCACAAGCTTCCTCACATGCTGAACATGAACCCGGACAAGTCATTGGAGGCGTGCAGACTGCAGGGCAGTTGGACAGTTCTTAGTATCTCACTAAACCCTCCACCCTAATAGCGATGGCCTCCACCTAGTAGCTTCTTGTTACTAGAAAGCTTCAAAGACCTACTAGTAGCTTCTTGTTACTAGCGATGGCCTCCAACCTACTTGCGACAGCCTCCTAATAGCGTCCTTGCTAGTATGCTCGATGGCTCAGGGGTGCTTGAAAATCTTCCTGCGAGAGGGTGAGACGTGCAGCGCCCAGCGCAATCCAACCGGCAAAACGCGCCAAAGGTGTCATTTGATGTAGGTGGAATGTAGCCAAGCAATTAAGGCCACTAGCACATCAACGGACTTGTTGGTGAACAGTAGGCCTGTCCAGATTAAATGCCCCAAAGGACGTTGCAGTAAAGGATTCCGTGGATGATCGCATCTGCCAAATTCTCGCCAGCAAGGCTCATCGGTGCAGATCGGACAAAGTGCCAGGCAAGAGAGACACTAATTACCAGAACCTTAATGTCATTGCCAGAACCTACTGTGGCCTTTTGTGATCCTTTGTAGGAGAGCGGACGGTAGATTCCTGGAGGTACCCACTGTCCATGCTTAGCGTGTGAGCATGCCAGGTTTTCCTTCATGGTCTTGATGTTGCAGGAGAGGTTTGCCAGTGGCCCCAGCTTTGAGGGTTCCAATGTCTAACATGTCGGTGATTTACATACAGGTGACAGGTGCTAAAGAGCTCCAACCAAAATGGTACATTGGTCAACCGCAGGAGAGACCTTGTTTGCTTGCACGACGGGAGATCAGGAGTTTTTCTTCCAGCTAGCCTGACCTAGAGGGTGGCCACCTGCATAGCACTTCGCATGCACCGTGAGTGGGCTTTGGGATGTCACTAGCAACCTAAATGAGATGGAGTTACACTTCCAAGTTTCAGGCAAATCAAGTAGCTCATGTCAGACAGATTTGAGATATTTCTAGGAGGTCTGCGGATGAACTATGCGAAAAATTCCCAAGAGTAGACACACAGCTTTGTGTATGCATCCTTTACTTTAACGTTGACATGGCGGCTGCAGCCCAAGTCTCTTCAAGAGCGCCCTAAACATATGAACTCCTTTAAGCTACTGAAAGCTCGGTTTCTAATCTACTTGGTGGTGTTTGTGTTAAGTTAAGTGCCTTCTTCGGCATTTCAACTGCCAACGCATCCACAACTTTACAGAACATTTGCTTTACATTTTGTTCACCGGAGAGTTTCATTAGCGCTTGCGTGTTTCTGGCCATCCAGCATCTCGATTCAGCTTCTACTAAAGCTGCACTGGAGCAGCTTTGAACCAGGGCAAAAGCGGGTGATAGACTCGCCCCAACGGACACCAGGCAGCAACCTGTTTATCTTCTCCACAACGCATTTGTACTTTGTCTGAACAGTTTCGGCAAGGTGTCATTTGCAATGAAGCTAACGAAGAGCTGGAGGCTGGTGGTTGTTGCTGTAGCAGCTGTGGTGATGGTGGTTGTGGTGGTGGTATTTGTACTGGTGTCATTATCTATTAGAACTCTGAGCCAGAGTCGGGGTCACACAAGAAACAGTATCTGTAGGAGGATTCGGTGGAGTAAGGTGCAGGACAGAGTAGTAGTTGGAGCAGTGAGTAGTGGTAGTTAAAAGCAGCAGCAGCTGCAGTTGTAGTAGTAGTGGTAGTGGTAGTTGTAGTGGTAGTGGTAGTAGCAGTAGTAGTAGCAGCAGCAACAGCTGCAGCAGCAGTGGCAGTAGTAGTAGTAGTAGTAGTAGTAGTAGTAGTAGGAGTAGCAGTAGCAGTAGCAGTAGCAGTAGCAGTAGCAGTAGCAGTAGCAGTAGTAGCAGCAGTAGTAGCAGCAGCAGCAGTAGCAACAGTAACAATAGTAGTCGAAGCAGTAATAGTAGCAGCAGTAGTAGCAGCAGAAGCCGCACGGGCAGGGGCGCAGGCGCAGTGGCAGTAGCAGTAGCAGTGGAGTAGTAGGAGGAGTGCAAGTAGAGGTAGGAGCAGGAGTAAGAGTACGAGTAGGCGCAGGGGGAGTAGGAGCAGGAGTTGGAGTTGTATTATCTTATATTGTATATTTATACTATTATTGTTATTAGTATTTAGTGTTATTATTCTGGTACTATTGGTACTACTACCAGTAGGGCTAGGCTACAAAGAGTATTTGTAGTTGTGGGGGTTGTTGTTGCTATCGCCGCTGTTAGCGACCCCAGAGGAAATCGCGATTTTATGGTGCTGTTAGGTTGATGCTTCCTCGTTGATGTGGGGTGGGGTGGGGTGGGGCATGTTAACGTTCGCTTGCACTT